ACTCCTTTTGCTCATCTGTCACTTGAGGCTCCATCTCTGGCATCTCTTGGTTTAACTCCCCAAGAACTGATTTTGTCGCTTCCTCCGTTTCATTTGTGCCATCCATAGCACAGTCTCCCTTCATTTCTTCTGGCTTCTTGTCGTCTCCTGCCTTGTTGGTGTCATCCACCGGATCGTCTCCCTCTTCCTTCTCCTCGTCCTCAGCAGTCATTACAAACTCATTCTCTTCAGTCCCACTGGTTTCCTCAGCGTCATCGTCCTCCATCACAGGCTCCTCTCCGTCATCACTGCCGTCAATCTCCTGCTCTTCTTGGCTGCTCGTCAATGTATCCACGGGCAAAGGCTGCCAGTAGTCATACAACTTACCCTACAGGAGGAACATTGTAAATCAGAATCTTTAACTAAATACTGCTTTTATGAGGAAAACACTTTAAATAAAATATTTATATAAGAATGTGTGTCTACTGTACATGGAGAGGCCTGGTCCTCTGAAGGAGCATCTGCCACTTGGTGTAGATTCTGGCCACCAGGTCCTTTACCTGGAGGGAGCGGAGGAAAGTGGATGTTTAACAGACTGTAACACACTGCTTTTGAGAGTGCACCCTAATTTAAATGACTGGCTTGCATGACTGCATCTTGTAACCAAGTCAACAATGACTTTGACATTGACTGAAAGGACGTTGTGTAGGATTTTGTGACATCTAACAGTGAAGTTGCAGATTGCCATCAACTGAGTAATGCATGTAGGAGAACTACAGTGCCCTATCTAGAGCCAGTGTATTGACCTGCTCCCTCTGTAGATAAAAACAACTCATTCTGACATAAGAAAAATGCAATGATTCTTTTTTTTTTTTTTAGGTGATTATATACACTAATGAAAACATACCTAGGAATATAATATTCTATTCTTCTATTTCTGCCAATAGATCTTCCTAAATGGTACACACTGGACCTTTAAATTCGGCATTGACACCAATTATGAAGATAAATCACTTTTATGTATTCACATTAGTAACAGAGAGATGAAGAGGTCTCCAAAATGGGCTCCTGTGCAGAGCTACAATGGCATATACAGAAGTTAAAAGGTGGACATTGTGGGTCACACAAATCTAATCCAATAAACAGTTTTCAAATTCAGCAGACATCTCACGCTCCACTAGCTTTCAGCTCTGTGTGCAGTGAAAAAAGATAATCTGGTGTATGTACACAGCCCTGGCTCTGTAAATGGGAAACAAACAAAGTGGATTGGACCAAGCCACACAACACTAATTTGTTATTCCAGCTATGATTTGTGTCAGGAAACTTTAAATTACTTGCCCAAAAACAAACAAACATTCAGCATACTTTCTAATTTTGCCAGAATACAATATATACAGATATTATGTACCTCTGCAGGGGAGCTTTGATTGTGGAGACTGGTCTTTCAGGACTCGTCTAAAAGCACTGATTAACTATAGCAATATATTGTTTTGTGGACAGTGTGATTCCTATGAAGGCTGTTTCCTTAAAATACTAAGCTTTGGGTCTCCAAGAAATTGAAAAATTTGCTCCAGTAAGGGAGGGACAAAACTGTTTATAGTGAAATAAGGAATGATGTTTGCACCAAAACTGAGAGGGCCGAAGGTTTTTAAACGGAGTACCCTCAGTACTCAGTGTGTTCCCCAGAGAAACTGGTTAAACAGGAGATATTAAGGGTTGGTGGAACATCAGGTAGGTCAACTTCATCTTGCTTACCGGGCAGGTAGAAGTATTGAGGATGCCACTCTCATTAAATTTGTTATTTCAGTATTTGGAGGACTCCAAAAGCAATACTAAGCTCATGGACTTTCATGGACTTTCCCACAGCATTAAACACAATTAAGCCATAGTTGCTTACTGGGAAACTTCTTTCCACTTGCAATATAAATGTTAATCTCATTAATTGGATTTCTTGACAAACAGGGCCCAGTGTGTTAGAGTCAACAGTTTTCCTCCACAGACCCTCTCTGGGGTTGTACCACGTCTCACATTCATCTTATATTGAATACAAAAGCAACAATAACAAGCTTATGTGGATATTTCCTGATAATGACTCTAAACATGGACCAGTTGTTGGTGTTGAGTTTTATCTTGAGATAAATGCACCAAAAACCAGACCTCATATCAAGACATGATATCACTGATTTTAAAGAACGCACCCCAGGATTGTTTACAGGATACAGACAATGGTAGTTCTCATGAGGGAACATACTTGGGAACAGTCACTGATAACAAGATGTGCTTTGAATCAATACTAATGCTGACTGTTCTGACTGGTCCTGCAGTGTTTATTATTCATAACACAGGTGTGTTATTTTCAGATGTGCAATACTCAAAGGACATTGTTATCAGTGTTTATTGAATTTCTTCTTACTTACTGTGGCTTGAGTCTTATAGATAAAAACAGGCTGGCAATCATTATTAATATATTCCTGTGTTTTGGGTGTTTAATGCCTGGCTGCAAACCAAATTTCTTCAGGATAACGTGTTGTAGAAAACTTACAAATGTTTTATACCACATCTGGATCTAGATCAAAATACACACTGGCACACAAAAATACCCGCAGTTCTTTTTGCAATCCTACTCACCTTGCTCCGGTAAAGGCATTTCTCGCTTTCTCTGATGTCACACTTAACATGCGTTTCCAGCTCAGAGCATAGAAACAGCAGTTGCTCCTAACAGCCAGCAGAAAAAAAGGGAACATTAACTCAACCCCGCAGGCAAAACGATATCACCTTCATCAAAACATCAGACATAAAAAAACCCCCACGATAAATTAGCAGATTAATAACCAGTCGGCCAAATGCTTGAGACCAGAAAAAAGGATTGAAGTCATACCTTTTGATGAGCAGGGAAGAACTGAAAATTGGAAGCTTCATTTGCCAAGGTCAGAAGGCTATAGCAGAGGTAGTAGGACTGAGACACATGAAAAACGTTCAGTTATAATTCTGTGAATATAAGATTCTTTTACTTGCATAATAAATTGACAACACATTCATTATATGCTCACCTGTTGGTCTAGGGTGTCCATGTCCTCTTCTTTATCTTTCTGACTCCTAGAGGAGCTCAGCATGGCTCTGAGAATGGTGGAGGGTTGCATACGGGGCAGGTACGGCCTCAGTTTAGAGAGCTAAGCATGGCAGAACGATGGGGGAAATGCAGATCACTCATCATGTCTTGTCATTTAGACAATCTAAACGGAAATAAAGGATCTAAAGGAAACCATCTAGGTTTAGTTTACAGTGAAACTAATTACCTGAATCTCTTTGTCCGTAGGTCTGTACGTACAATTTCCATCTAACAGTTTAGAGATCATGGACAGGCTCAGATGTCGACGCAGTTGTCTATATGAACAAAAGAGAATACTTTTGAATGTACGCCATTTTAAAAACTACAATATTTTAAAGAAACACTCATTGTGTGGGAAAGAACAAAGGAGACAAGCAGATCAGAGAAAGAAAAAGGACTTACTTTCCACGTGTGTTGTCAGGCAGCAGTTGAACTAGCAGGCACATGTTGTGGTGGTCATCCGTCAAATCAGTAATGGCCAGACAAATTCTGGGCAGCTGAAAACCATTTCAGATAAATAATAAATTAAATAAGTAAAAAGAAACCGGTGAACAGGGTTTATACACAATTTGGGGAAATGATTTCCATAATGTAAATCAGTTTTCAGGACTAAACATTCTGTGATGCATTAAAAGCACATTTAATTGAATTTATATTAACTACAATAATTCCCAAGTACACAATAGCAATTGGCAATAATTCAATATTATCTTAACAACTGTCTACTGGAAGTCTATTGTGATATGATCATATCAAGTTAATCAAATTAATGATTCAAAGCAAATAAAGCAAATAAAAAAAAAAATATATATATATATATATTTTTGGGATTATTAGGAGTTTTGGCTGACGTTAAGCAGCGGCACACACTTCAACGCACTGTAAATCAACTTGATAATTTTACATGATTTGGTACACATTTACCTAGCCCTAATACACAGTATACCTTGCATAACACAAATTAATGAAAGTAAATAATTAATTTAAAACAAAATGAACATTCTGCCGTTTGGTGCAGTGGGTTTGTTTGCTGTGAGGAGTGGTAGTTGTTTTGCAAACAGGAGCATTTGTTTGTTTTAGGCAATTAATACATAGGTCATGTTTAAAAATGCTATTAAATCAAACCACATTAAAATATAACTTTTTTCCATGACTTTTTCAAAAAAACATTTTGGGATTTAATGTTTTTCCAAGACTTTTCCAGGCCTGGAAAGCACAGTTTTCAAATTCTACGACTTGTGTGCGTGAAATACAACGAAACAATGAAAACCTTTTCTCACTATTCCTGCAACTTTTGAAAATCATGCAAGGAACATATGAACTGACCATGGTGTCCCAGTCCCTGATGTTGTTGACAATTTTGTACTGTAGAGGGTACAGTTCCACACTGGAGTGGAGAAGGAGACGAGTGTCCAGTCCCACCCTTCCCACCACAGTTAGCAGCAACAGCAGCTCATCGTCGCTGTACGCCCGTGGACATAGACCCATACAGTAAGACAGGTACTGCAGACGAGAACAAAAAGAAACATCCAAGTAGTTAATGACCTGAATGGCTAAAATGTGTTTTCTCAGACATGACAGCAAACTGTTCATATCCGTTTCCTTTTGCAACTCACCTTCAAGATGTTGTTGCAGTTGTGTTCAGGGAAGGCGCTTTGTTCCTTGTTATTGGAGGGACTCTCACTTTTGATATAGATGTCCTCCCTACACAAACACAGAAATTCAACTGCATGAAATTAAAGACATCAAATAAACAACTTTCAGCTCAGATTTTATGCTTTAAAATAGGAATACAACAAAATAAATGAATAATCCCACAAACAGGAACACTACTTACAGCAGATCTCCCTCTGTGAATGGAGGCTGCAGATTCTCAAAAGGGAAGAGAGTAACAAACGACACTCCCATATTCATCAAGACCAGCGCCACATCGGCCAAACTAGGCACCCACACTTTAAACTGCTGGCTCCCATTTTTCACTGAGGAAGAATATACAGGAAAAAAAGTTCAACAGAGCTTAACAATAGGGAGGAAATACCAAAATGATGGGGGTGGGTGGTGAAGGACACTGACCTATCTGATAAGCAGCAGTGGAGGCGATGTCACAGAGGGCCTGTAGTATCTTTTCAGATATCATCCTCTCACTATGGACGGACATCATCTGATCAACAAAGATCAACAAAGAAATTAATGCCAGCGCTTAGACGATTTTGACACAAACTAGAGATGTTCCGATACCATTTTTCCGCCCCTCCTACCGATTCCGGATACTTGTGCTTGTGTGGTATATTATGTACTGTATATAAAACATGAATAATACAGCAAATTCAAGCCTTTATTTTTTAAATAAAACAGTATAAAAAAACGTATAAAAAAGCTTCCAGAGTTTGCTGCTGCG